ACTGGGCCCTTTGTGCTAGGGCGCAAGGCCGGAGCGGCGGGCCAGGCAGGAGCGGGCTTGCGATAGGGCGTGGCTCCAGGCCCGCCGGGGTCCGGTGCCCTGGTGGGGCGGGCCAAAAGGTGGGCGTGTCAGGAGTGGGATTCGAACCCACGCCTCCAGGGGAGACTGCGACCTGAACGCAGCGCCTTAGACCGCTCGGCCATCCTGACGGCGGGCCTGGGCGCGTCGCCGCTCGCCTGGCTGGGACCCGGCGCGAACGCTGGCGGCGGCTGGCGGCTGTGTGGGCGCGCAAGGGACGGGACGCGCGCCCCGGCCGACCAGGAGCAGCGCCAGCCGCCTCGCCTGGCGCCGCGCCCGCCGCGGCCGCCGCCGTCGCCGCCGCCTCGCCCCGCGCCGCCCCGCCCCCTCGCACATCGCGGCCCCGCACCCAGAGACCGGCGTCGGCCCAGCCTGTCTGGCCGCCGCCGCCGCCCCCCACCCCCCACCCCCCACCCCCACTAGGTCCTCGCCGCCCTCCCTCCTCCGCCCCTGCCCATCCGGGGCGCCCGTCCTCCTGCTCGCATCCTTGCTTGCCCGCTCGGGCCTCTTCTCCCTGCGCGATCCGCGCCGGGCAGGCCCTAGGCGCCGGCGCACTCGGAGTGTTCCGCGCCGTCCGGGTCCGGGGCCCGGGCCTGGGGTCCACTCCGAGTCGGGCTGGGAGGGCTGCTGTGCGGGCTGGCGCGGTTGGTTTGGGGTCCGGTCGGGTGTGGCACGTGGCGGGCGCCTGCGTAAGGCAGGGCGTCGAGGGCAGGGGTAGGCGTGGGCGGGCAGGCGGAGAGGGGGCGGGCGCCCGGGTGGCCGCCGCCGCCGTCCTCGTTAGTATAGTGGTGAGTATCCCCGCCTGTCACGCGGGAGACCGGGGTTCGATTCCCCGACGGGGAGGCAAGACGCCCTTTTTGGTCGCCGGCGCCACCGCCGCTCTGTCCAAACGCTTGCCCCCAGGGCCCTTCTCCTCCCTCGCGCGTCCGGCGAGAAGCGCGGGGCGACGACGGGTGCCCGGCTTGCCCACCGTCGAGCGCCCCCACCCCTTTGCCTTCCTCGTGACCCCGGGCGCGCGCGCGCGCGCGTGCGGGGTCACCACGGCCCAGCCAGGGCCTCCTGTCGTGCCCCCGGCGCCTGACGAGTGACTGGCCGCAACGGGCTCCTCGGCGACGCGACGCTGCCCGGTGCTGGATGGGCGCGGGGGACGGGGTGGGCGGCGGCTGGGTCGGGTCCTCTGTGGGTGCGGGATGTGGCCTCGCCGGGCACTCCGCGGAGAAGGGCCCGGGCGAGCGGGTCGCCGGAGGGCAGCGTGTCTCGCGGGGCGGGGAATGCCCGGCCGGCAGCCGAGGGCCGGGGGAGCGGCACGGCGGCCAGAGCGCCCCCCAGAGGCGGGCGGCGGGCGGTCGGGCCTGCGGAGCCGCACAGCGGCGTCGTGCTGGCGGGGCTGGGCCTGGCGCTGGGGCTGCGGCTGGGGCTGGGGCTGGCGCTGGGGCTGCGGCTGGGGCTGGGGCGGCCGCTGCTGGCGCCTGCGGCAGCGCAGAGCTGCCGACCGGCGGCACGTCGGGGCAGGGCGGCGCCAGGCGGCCCAGGCGGCGGCGAGAAGGCGTGAAGGCGCCTCTGCGAAGCGTGCGCCGGCGTCTCGGGGCGGCCGGGGCTGTGCAGCGTTGGTGGTATAGTGGTGAGCATAGCTGCCTTCCAAGCAGTTGACCCGGGTTCGATTCCCGGCCAACGCAGCTGGCCAACCTTTTGCACGGCTCCAGGGCCCTCGTGCCCAGGCCCGATGGGAGCCGGGAGCCGGGAGCCGAGAGCCCGGAGCCGGAGCGTGGCCCGAGGCTGAGCGCGTGTGTGAGGGAGGGAAGGAGGTGCGCAGCGTTTTGAGGGTGCTGCCGGCAGGGCGGGTGGGTTGGTAGGGCGGGCGGGCGGCTGGCCGTGGCCAGGCAGGGGCCTTGGAGCCAAAGCGGAGGCGACGGGGTGGTCTGGAGGCGCTGCGCCCAGGGCGCGCGGGCCAGGCGCAGAGCCCGACGCTCCCTGGTGGTCTAGTGGTTAGGATTCGGCGCTCTCACCGCCGCGGCCCGGGTTCGATTCCCGGTCAGGGAAGCCTTTCTTCTTCCTCTCGGCCTCCCGACCTCTCCCCAGCGCATCCGCACCCCTTTTAGCCGAAGCTGGCTGGCTTCTCCCTTGCCTCGCGGCTAGCCCCACGGCCTCGGGGCCCAGACAAGGCCAGGCGCACGGCCGAGCCCAAGCCTTGCCCTGTCGCCTCGGCCAGCCCAACCCTTTTGGCCTCGCCAGCGGGCCGGCCGCCCAACGGCAGCGCGTCGGCGCCTCGCCTGGGCGCTCGCATGGCTCCCCCTCTTCCTCCGTCCCAAACCCGAGAGGCCGCGCGCACGCGCGCGCGCGATACCCTCTGTCCTCACGCGGGGCCACCCACAGACGCCCGCACGTCCGGCCACCGCAGGGGCTTGGACTCTCCGGCTGCACTGCTGCCGCCAGGAGAAACCCCGCCACCCCTGACAAGCCACCCCTTGCTCCTTCCGGAGGTGCTACTGAGTGCTGACGGTGCGGGGAAGCGGGCCGGGGGGGTGGGGGGTCGGAGGGGGAAGAGGTCGGGGCAGGGTGAGCGATCTGCCTCTTTGCGTCGGGACACCTGCTGGAGCCCCTGGTCCCTTCCCTCGCCCTCGGGCCAGCCACCGCTCGGTCCAGCTTCCCGGCCACCACGAGCAGAGAGCGGCACGGTTGCGCCGGGGATGTGGAGTTGGGAGAGCGAACGTGGACGCGTGCACGAAGCAGAACCGACGGGCAGTGCAGGAGAGACAGCAGGAAGATTCGGGAGGCCGGTGGGGAAAACCCAACAGCCAAGCAGGGGGAGGGCGTGGAGGCACACCGGAGACAGACGGTGGACTTGTAGCCAACAGGTTCTTGAAATCGCATCACCCATCCCTTGAGTCCCACGGCAAAGTGGCAAGCGTGTTCCCTGGAACGCCTTCCACCTCCCCCAGCCCCGACCGCCACCGCGCAGGCCCACGGCCGAGTTTGCCCGTTGAAGGTTTTCCCACTGGCGCCTTAGCCGACACCTAGCCAGGAGCTACTCCAGCCCTGTCTCCAGCCCTGTGCCCGTCGTCTTGTCCGGGTGCTCCTCCAGCTAAATCGCAGACCACGGTCTCCTTCCCAGAAACACTTGCACGCCTCTGTCCGCCACGGGTCTGCTGTCTGTTCAGAGATTGTCTCCTTCAGGAGCCCAAGCGGACAGCCCGTGCACCGGCCAAACCTGCCGCGGCACCACACTGGCTGGGTTGGGGCAAGGTCGTCCCAGCGGTGGAAAGGAGCCGCTGTGGGCAGCCGGGCGCTGACCATCACCACGGGAACTTCCCTCAGCGCCATTGCTTCTGTGGGTGTGTGGGTGTGTGTGTGTGTGTGTGTGTGGTGTGAGCGTGTGGGGGTGTGTCTGGATGCGTGTGGGGTGTGTGTGGGGTGTGTGGGTGTGAGCGTGTGTGGGGGGGTGTGTGTGGAGCGTGTGTGGTGGGGGATGCCGCGGGATGAAGGTGTTTACTCACGTGGGTGGCCTCCCACGGGGGTCAGGGCATAGAGCGAGGAGGATCCCAGAAGGAGGGGAGGGCCGGGGGCAGCCCGGGTGTGTGGGTGGGGTGCCCGGCGCGGGGAGGTGTGGGGCTTGCGGGACCGGTCCAGAGTGCGGCTGGACAGTCGGGCAGGGTGTCTGCAGAGGCTTCGGTGGGGCGGGGGAAGAGCTCCTTCCCCGGCGCCATGCCAGGCATGGACGTGAGCACCTGTGCGGGAGGGTGAGCTCTGAGGTAGGGGAGGGGAGAGAGCACGAGTGTGCCTGAGGAGCGTGTGGGAGGCCGGGACTGCCAGCCGAGAATGTGAGCGATGGGGGTGGGGGGTGGGTGGGAGGGGTCCAGCCTGGAGGCTGGCAGGAGCTGCGCGTGGCAAGTGCTGGGGAGCGGGCCCCGGTGCAAGAGAGCTGGAGGCCCCCGTGGCGGGACAGGACCGTGGCGGAGGAGGTGCGCGGGGGGAGACTGCTGTGCGGTGCTGCAAGGTGGTCAGGCCAAGGGGTGGGGTGTGGGGGGCGTGGGTGGGAAGCAGGCCGGCGGGCAGGCCGAAGGGAGACACAGAGAGAGGGCGGGCCCGGGTCTAGGAGCCGTCCCAACGGGGTGAGGGATTCCACCGCCCCCGAGACTTCGATCACCTGTCATCGGGACAGCCAGTCATGCGTCAGGGGGCGTCCTGGGCTTGAGATTCAGAGAGGCCAAAGGGACAAATGCCACACAGGATCATTGACCAGTGAGGACTTGGAGAGGAGGGGGCGTGCAGGCAGGGGAACCGTGAGGGGATGTTGGGGCAGGAGGGGCTGGTGGGGCTGGAGGTGCAGGCTGTGCTGGTGCTTGTGTTGCTGGTGGAGGACGACTTGGTGCTGCTGCTGCTGGTGCTGGGGGTTGACCTCGGTGCTCTTGGTGCCGGTGCGCGGGCTGCTGTGGCGATGGTGTGCACGGTCCCGGTGGCGGCGGCGGTGGTGATGGACTCCAGGAGTGTTGGCGATGGTGCCCGACGCGGTGTGGTGATGGTGGACTTGGTGGTGGAGCTGGTGTTGGTGGAGCTGGTGGAGTTGGTGGAGGTGGTGGCGGGGGTGGCGGGGGTGGCGGGGGTGGCGGGGGTGGTGATCGTGGAGGACTTCGGTACCGTTGGCAATGATGCCCATGCTGCTGAGCTGGCGGTGGACTTGGTCCTGCTGGTGATGGTGGTGGTGGTGGTGGTGGAGGTGGCGGTGGTGGTGGTGGAGCTGGTGGTGGTGGCGGTGGTGGCGGGGGTGGTGGGGGTGGTGATCGTGGAGGACTTCGGTACTGTTGGCAATGATGCCCATGCTGGTGAGCTGGCGGTGGACTTGGTCCTGCTGGTGATGGTGGTGGTGCTGGTGCTGGAGGTGGCGGTGGTGGTGGAGTTGTTGTTGGTGGTGGTGGTGGTGGCGATGGTCGAGGTGGCGGTGGTGGTGGAGTTGTTGGTGGTGGCGATGTTGGAGGTGGCGGTGGTGGTGATGGTGGAGGTGGCGGTGGTGGCGGTGGGGGTGGGGGTGGTGATCGTGGAGGACTTCGGTACCGTTGGCAATGATGCCAAGCTGGTGCGCTGGTGGCGGACTTGGTCCTGCTGGTGATCGTGGTGGTGGACTTGGTGGTGGACTTGGTGGTGGGGTGGGTGGTGCTGATGGTGGAGAACTTCCCTGCTCTGGGCGATGGTGCCCGACGCGGTGTGGTGATGGAGGACTGGTGGTGGTGGTGGTGGTGGCGGCGGAGGGGGAGACTGGTGCTGCTGGTGCTAGTGCTGGCGCGGGCGTTGGTGGACCTGGTGTTGGCGGGGGTCCTAGCGTGGCAGGAGCGGCGGAGTTG